AATGTGTGGACAGTATTATCGGCGACGCGATGGCCGTCGCCGACGATCACCTGATCGGCGAGTGTTGTCTGGATGTGAACTGCGGTGTCGGCGGTCAGGAGGCGATGCTCTTCACCAAAGAGTTGTTCGACGTTTACGTCAGTCTCTGTGCGCACAAGAACTGGAACTATTCGGTTGCGGACAACGATTGCGATACCGTTGCCGGCGGTTCCCGACACTCGTCGCTCATCATATCGGGAACCGATTGCTATCGACTCTTGAGACACGAGGCGGGCGTTCATCGGGTCCAACGGGTGAGAGACTACTCTTTACTCTACCCTTTGCTCTGTTATTGTTATTAGTATTTTTGAATTGTGTTTGTTGTTTGAATCGTGGTATTAGTTCCCGAAGACAGACCGGCATAGAGTGCACACATCGACCGCAACGGTGGCCGTAATACCCGTCCGGCACGACGTGATTGACATCAAAGACAAGGATCTGGTGTTTACTATGACCACATCGCAGGGCGCGGGCGGACAACACGTGAACCGTACGCTTACGTGCGTTCGCGTCAAACACTTGCCGACGGGAGTGACCACTGAGTGTCAGGAGACCCGAAGTCAGCTCCAGAACAAAGCGATTGCTTTAACGAAACTCAAAGCGATTATCAATCAAATGGCGTACGAGAAGAAGCGATCCGAAGACGTGACCACAAAGAGGGCGCAGATAGGGATCGCCGCCCGAAGCGATAAGATCAGGACATATAACTTCCCGCAGAATCGCATTACAGACCACCGCCTGAGCGATGATATCCACGACATCGAGTCCTTCATGAGAGGAAATTCAGACAAATTGTTGTATTTTCTCAACAAATTAGAGGAACAGAGGCTCGCGTTTATGATGCAGAAGATTAGGGAACATTTGGATCAGTTCTTGAGCTGATTGTCTCGTTTGTGCGTTTAGTTTAATTTATATTTAAATATTTTATTAGGATTTTTACAAATTAATTATTTGTTAATAAATTGGTTTAAATTGTTAATTGATGTGATTTATTGTTACATTAATTATTTTTATATTACCATTGGATTACTGTATACTTTCATAGCAAAGGTATGTTTTGTTTTATTTTTTAATTTTTAATATAGTTTTTATTTATATTTTTCTTTCAATTAGTTTTAATTAAAAATTTCATACACTTTAAGAAACATCAAAATTATACGAAATGCACTTTAAATCCTGTATTTTAAAAGTGAAAATTATTATAATTACCGTATATACTCTCATAAAAACACCGGTAATATTATGTGAAATCCAGTAAAAATGCGATTTTTCAAAACAGGGGTAATGTTACCTAGATAAGATTACCCCCATTACTAAAACTCACATATTGTTACCGGTAACGCTATGTGAAATTCAATTGAAGGGTATTTATTCATTCAAATAGCAAATGATTTTATAAAATTCAAACAATATATTTAAGAAATATTCATAAGATATCTCTAAGTCCAGAGTTAAGAGTTGTCACCATATTATCATTAATGTCTTTATTTGAAGACAAACTAACAATTTGAGACATTTTAGTGAATGCTATTGACTGTCAGAAAATGGATACAATTTGGCGTTAATTAATTGTTAATGAGTCATTAATAACGAGTAAATTTATATCGTATTCGACTCATAAGCAATAAAGTACAATAGTATAGTATAAGTTTTTAGTAAGATGTAATCATAAACTCACATATTGTTACCGGTAACGCTATGTGAAATTCAATTGAAGGGTATTTATTCATTCAAATAGCAAATGATTTTATAAAATTCAAACAATATATTTAAGAAATATTCATAAGATATCTCTAAGTCCAGAGTTAAGAGCTGTCACTATATTATCATTAATGTCTTTATTTGAAGACAAACTAACAATTTGAGACATTTTAGTGAATGCTATTGACTGTCAGGAAATGGATACAATTTGGCGTTAATTAATTGTTAATGAGTCATTAATAACGATATAAGTTTTTAGTAAGATGTAATCATGACCCTAAATATAGGGGTAATGCTACCTGGATAAGATTACCCCCCTTTGTTGGATTTCACATAATATTACCGGGTGTTTTTATGAGAGTAAATACGGTATAAGATATTAAGTGTTAGTTTAACACTTAATTAACCCCGACTTTAGGTTTGGGATTCGCTTCACAATTTGGGATTTAATTGAATTTTAATTTATTGATATTCGCATTCAATTTACTAAGAAATTATACTTTTGAATAACTTATTCAAGAAGAACTTCTTTAAAAATTTCTGAATAGAAAAACGGAGTTTCAAATAAATTTTGGACAAAGATTTCAATTTCAATCCTCTAATTATGAAAGTAATGTTTCAAAAGTTTTATTTTAAAATTCAGTACAAAATGTTATACAAAAGTGTGTTTGAAATCCTATGAATCAATAATAAGAAACATTTACTGTATTAATAATTTTGTTTAATTTCATTAAAATTAAAAACCAATTATAATTCAAATGTTGACAATTTGTGACAATTCGTAGACCATATATAAGTAGCGGTCAATTGTGGGCTTCTTGTGGTTCATCGCTCTCTTCCTGTGACGCTTCGTCGTCTTCGTTGTCGTTGTGGTCATTGAGGTTATGGTTAGCGACAGACTCTTCAATCATCTTATTAAAGACGGCCGCCTCTCCCGTGTAGTAAAACACTGCGCGAGGGATCCAATCGTTGGACAACTTCTTGAAGAGTTTCCAGTCGTCGATCAGACGCTTCTCTTGTGTCTCATCCAAAGGCTCTCCAGAAGACCAGAAGAACTGGAAAAATGATGGTTTCAATTGTCCAGAGATTGGGTCGAATAGAGCCGAGTTTTTGCGATTCTTCCACTCGATTGGTGTGGACTCGCATTTGATTGGACGGCACTGACAATTGGCCTGACATTCCTCTTCAGTATCAGTTAAAATGAGCAACTTTTTGGTCAACACTTCGTTCTCGAAGTACTCATTGGCCGAGAAGTGAAACTCAATGATATGTTCCTTCTTTTCCTTATTCATTGTCTCCTTAATGTCAATCAAATGCTGAAGAATCGGTTCGTCGTATTCCTCAATCATCTCTTCAAATACGGTGGCCATCAGGACATTGAGCCAGAAGTCGGGAATACTCTTTGCCAACTCTTGACACGATGTGCCGTACGTTTGAACCATCAAAACCATATCCACGAAGAGCTTCTTCAGAGCAGAAACACGTCTTTCAATAGCAATTGGCATCTCATCGGTAGTGATATCGGAAGCGCTGTCCGTCGAAGACCATGAGAAGGTTTTACATGAACTACTAATAGCATTACTAATAAGTGACGATTTGTCTTCACTTTCACTGGTTTTCTTGTACTCAATATCTCCGGGACTTCGACGCCGATGGGTGTCCTCTGAGCGCCGGATCTTATGCTCAGGAGTAGAGACGGCAGACCTAATAGTGGGGCACAAAATACTGTCCATAGAGGCGATCGACTCAACGGTTCCGGGTGTCTGTGCAACCGCTGGCACCTCATCTTCTTGTGACAAATCAGAGTCAATGGGTTCGTAGTCTCCGCTCACTATTTGGCGTCTCTTTTCATAAATAGGTTCACAACTTTGGGCCAACTCTTGACGCGAATCGTCATCCGAGCCGTCAGTGGATACGTTAAAAACTGACCCATTGGTTGATGAGTGGGATCCGATGGAACCGCTGGAAGAACTTTGGATTTCTCTCGAAAGGAAGGTGTCTTTCGAGAGCGCCAAGGATTCACGGGTTCTATCGGTTTCCACAGATATTACAGACTTGGAGGATGACATGAATTGCCAGAAACCTCCGCTATTCTCATGTAATTTCTTGTAAGCACTCAAAGGCTCGGTTCCGACACCTCTTTCAATGGCAATCGGAATCTCTTCGGTAGTGAAGTCGGAAACGATGTCCGTTTCGCTGTCCACTTCCCACTCCAGTGCCAACTCATTCACAGACTTAGAGATATCCTCTTCAGCCGACATTTATATGAAGATATCTTCGGATTATAATTGAAATCAAATCAAAAATTGCGTAAAAATTGTGACAAAAATTGAGAGCAAAAACGGTTAGAAGTGTTGAACGAATGAATGGTTTGAAATGTTTGACACATTCTATGCATTCTTTACAGTATTCTAGCGTTGAATGCATTCTTGACTGAAGTCTCGCACAAACTCTCGAAACAACAATCGATGCAAAAAATGTTTGAATGCTTTGATTGAAAGGGAAATGTCTTCCGATTCTGGGATCGAATATTCGGTGGTTTGTGTCGATGACAGCGATTTCATGAGGAATGAAGACATGCGACCCAATCGTCTGGTCGTCCAACAGGAGTCCATTAACATTGTCTGCCATCACATCCTGTCCTCGCGAGCGGAGAATCGCGTCGCTCTTCTCACTCTATCGGACACACAGACGGTTCAACCGCTGACTAACAACGAGATCGATGTCATGCGAAAACTCTATGCCATTAAATTCAAAGGTGAGATCAAACTCTCGGCCGCTATTAAGACATCACTTCTGGTGCTAAAAAACAACGGCGTTTCCGATCGAGATCTTCGCAATTCCAAGAAAAGGATTGTCGTGTTTATCGGCAGTCGAGTCAAAGAAACAGATATCGAGTCCAAAGAATTGGACGAATTGGCCGTAAAGATCAGGAAATCCAATGTATCGCTGGATGTGATCTGTTTTGGGCCCGAAGTCGAGCCTCAGATCGAAACTCTCAGACAATTTGTGAATAAAGTGGGGAAAAACTCTCATTTAGTGATTGTCCCGAAAGACTCACAAATGAATATAGTTTTGGCCGAATCTCCCATTCTTTCGGACACTCATAAGGATTAGTTAAATACGATGTGAATGTATATTCAGCTTTGTGTTCATAAGAAAACATTTACAACATTTGCAACATTACTAAATTCATATTAATTCATATAAATTATTGAATTTATTAATTATTATTAATAATAATTTATTATAAATGACAGCTCAATAACTCATAAATAATTCAATAGTCAAGAGAACAAATCGTACGATTAAATCAAGTTTTAAAATAAACCAAAACCAGTATTTTTGCAATATTTAAGTGTTATATAAAGTGAAATATTGTTCACAAATATTTGAGTTTAAAATTTAAGTAATAATTGTGAATAAAATGAGTGAATATCTAACACAACAGATAGTGGATGATTACCAAAGAGATGGTGCGGTTTGTATACGCAATGTATTCAACAATTACTGGATTGAGAAAGTAATTGAAGGAATTGAGAGGAATCTAAAGAATCCGAGCGATTATAGCGAGAGTTTGTCGAGCGATGGTCAGAGCGGCGCCTTCTTTAACGACTACTGCAACTGGAGGTCTATTCCCGAGTTTGAACAATACGTATACCAATCACCGGCCGCTCAGATATGTGCGGCTCTAATGGGCTCGGAGTACAGTGTCTTCTATCACGAACACGTACTCATCAAAGAGGCCGCGGCTAACCAACTAACGCCTTGGCATCACGACCAGGCATACTATCCCATCAATGGATTCAAGGTATACCACGTTTACTCTCTTTAAGTATAATAAGAAGTCCTTATTAAGTTGGCTAACATTTTAATCCTTAGTCGAGTTTTTCTGTTTATTTGATAAAAATGAATAACATTTTAGATTTTTTAATAAAAATATCTTTAAAATAATTAAACCGTGTACTGATTGGTAGAACTGCTCGATTTGGATGCCTTTAGATCCGGTGCCTATAGAGACAGCCGTTGAGTTTGCGGCGGCCTCTCATTTGGACAACAAATGGTATAAACCGCGAAAATTTGCCACTCATTTGAATTACAACATTAATAACAACGATTTATGCGATGAGATTGCATACAATGACGTGCCTTCCGATCAATATATTCGCGATAATTACAAA